CCATGCTAAAAATCCTAGTCTAATCAATTAATCTAGCCATGATATTAAGCTGAAAAATAATTTTGGTCTATGATCTTTATCATTATTGTGGAGAACTTGTTTTTTTTTTTTAATTTCTCGCCTTGTTTTTTAGGATCACCTTATTATGCAACATCTGCTCTGAATTTCAAATGTGGTAAACAGAGTATGAGTGTTGGTGGCAGATGGCTAATGACCAGCAGTGACAGGGCAGTCAAGCCAGCCTTGTTTTCTGAGAAGCGATATTTTCATGTTAATTTGTTCTGTGTCCTGCAAAGATAGGACAAATCACCTGCTGTAAATCGGGCAAAGTGGAGACCACCAGGATCTGTGAGGGGCCAGAGTTGGGCTCCTTTAAGAGCAGGAGAGGAAGACCTGGGAGACTTTCATCTGCAGCACGGGGACCAGTCACTTTGCATTATGTCAAACAGAGAAGGATGAAGCAGCCTCGGGCACTCGTCCTGACATCAGAGCCACTGTTTGCTGCAAGCAGATATTAGTCACGAAAACAGACTATTTCCCAGAGCAGAAAGCAGGTGCAATCAAGAGTGCATGCTAGCCTCTGAAGTCTGGGTTTTGTAAAATAAACCTAATAGTACATTTTATCTCTTATTGAAAACAGAAAAACCAGCAGAATCTCCAAGAAACACTCAACTGAAGATAAAAAGAAATCTAATTCAGTGAGAAAATTACCCACACAGACATAAACTTTGAGTTTTTTTTTTCCTCTCTCTCTCCAGTTCCATAGAATTGATTTATCATAGGAGATTCACGGACATGATTTTTATCCCATGACTCTGTGAGGCCATATGGTCTGGAGCTCACAGAACTCTGTCCTGTTTTAGAGAGGCTACTGATCTGTGTGTTTCTTCTGTACTTTATTCTCAAGAAGCGATGCCGCCCATCTCATTAAGAATGTAGCACTGGCAGAATGGCCAAGGGGTAACATTAGGTATGTTCTCAAAAGAGTTTATAAGTTAGCTGAAGACACTGGGCCAGGTACTAGGAAAGCTGATTTGCAGGCAAGTGCCAGTGCCCAAGAAGTGGTTCAGTGTGAGAGGACAGGCCCCCCAAGGGTCTGCTCCTGGAAAGAATGTGTCACGGGGGTCCCTCTCTCTCCTCAGTACTCTGCCATATGGCTTCCTTTGCTCCAAATGAGTAAAGAATATGGTGAATGAACTCTCTGACACTTCTTTTGACCCTTGTCATTTAGTGGCAGATGGATACGTGAAGATGGAAAGTAAAGGTGGAACTAAACTCTACACTAAACAGATTCTAAGATGACAGTCTGAATTAGAAAGAGGAGAGCCAGCCATGTCAACAAGGTCAAATCAGGCTGCTTGTTGGTTTCACAGTAGAGTGGTCAACAAGCTTCCTATGCAAATGTTATCATCAGCCAGGAACAGATGGACCTAAAGAAAATCACAACAGCACCTTAAAGGTGAGGTTTATACATCACTTTTTAAGTCTTAGAACATTATACCTAGAAATGTTTACTTTGAAAATGGAAAGAACAATCTCTTACTGTTTTCATTATTATTATTACTATGGATTTTCAGGCATAGCCTGGGACTTCCTTTAGTCAAGGCTGACGGGAGGACCATGCAGTAACGGAAGGACATCCTCCACAAACTGACCCAAATATCAACCTCAACAACTTCATAAAGCTTCATGAATTTTAATTTTCTCAAAACAAATGTTATTCAAATATCTGAAAACCTGTTCTCTGAGAGAGATTTATAAGCCCTCCATCTGCTGTTTTCTAACAAAGATGTTGATTAAATGATAAACAAAGGTTTTATCCCTCTCCAGACATGATGAAATATTCTAGTTTTATCCAAGCCCTGCCTTCCAATTACAATGAGTACCCCAATAAGCACTGGGATATTTTGGTTATTAGGTGGCAAACTAAGAGTGCCATGAGAACACCTCAGAAGACAGATGGTAAAGGACACAGTCCTTGGCCTGAATCTTCTTACAAGGCTGCTATCTTGATTTTTTAAATATATCTATTTCATGTTAAAATATGTTCCAGATTACAATTATTTTGGCAACACGGCACCTCTCAGTGCACATAAGAGAATTTCCGTATGGTAATTCTAACCTTCTAGCTGCTGTGACTACTCTAGAGAACACTTCAGTACCACGTGCAAAGAGCCTGTGACTGAGGTTCATCTGCTTGTACTTGAGAATGTTTGCCATATGCTTTTGTGAGGCTCATCTCTCTCTCTTTTCAATTGTGCATTTCATCTTTTGTCTTGGAAAGGTCTGAGCCCGGAGAGTAGGCTCATTTTGTGTCTGCAAAGTGCTCACCACAGAAACTTCCTGAATTCCATAAACACTGAATGAATAAACAGTCTTAGTATTTTCTATGAAAGTCTTATTCCACAGAACGGTCCATAGAAAGATGCCATTTTTTGTGTTTCCAATAAACTGTTCAACACAGTAACATTCACTAGCTCAATGAAAAACTTGGCATAAATGCATCTTCTGTACGACAAAATATTTCTGTTCTCCAGGTCCAAGCTTGAAACCATCATCCAGCAATGCAGTTAACCCACACACCAATTCCTAAAAATAAATTGATCACCAAAATGAAGCTACAACGGCCTAGTGAGGATATTTGTAGCAGCTATACGTTTAACCTAACTATCCATTTGATGATTGTATAAGCTCCTTAATAATTATTCATAATTTTAAAAAGAATTTTATATCCATCACTTTTCTCCACACTGTGATATAACACCTTAAAGGACAAATATAGGGGACGAATGATTTATTTTGTCTCACAACTGAGAGGGTATGCTCCGGTACAATGGGGAGTCATTGTAAGGAAAGCAGGAGGTATGGAGACAAGCGGCTTCAGGTGAGAGTGCCAGCAGCTTGTTCACATCTCCCTGACCAGGAAGTAAGCAGTCTGAGCAGGAAGTGCAGCTCAGCTACAATCCAGAAGGCTGGCAGTCCAAAGTCGCACTTTCTCTAGCTAGCCCATCCTCTAAGTGTTCCAACCAGCTAGGAAGGAATGTTCAAACACATGAGCCTGTAAGGTATATTTTATATTCACATCATAACAGCCTTATTAAAGTATTGTAACACTCAGCATTAGAAACATATTGATAAATAAAAATGAAAAGTGGATCAATTCAGACCTATTTTTAAAAATCAAAGATGAAAACAAGAAAGTTTTAGTTACTATTTAAAGTTAACCAAAGACCCTTGTCTTTGCATAGAAATTAATTTCATTTGATCGTAGTTATATGCCATTTTGAAAACATTAATCACATTCTTAACCATATGCCATTTATTCTAACCTATAGGCCCAGCACCCAACCTTGCTTATATCAGCTCATCTAGGGAGGCACTAATTCTGATGGCTGTAGACTGTTCAGCCTCTAGGAGAATCTCAGCCTTCTGGTAACCATATCAAATGATTTAATTATACAAATCCTCCACTCATCATTCTCTGATATCTTAGGAGAAAACGTGAACCTCAAAAAACTCTACGGAGCAGGTAATGTGGACAATACATGGTTACTTTGATATTTTAAAAGGTATCATGGAGTAACTGATAGAAGACTTGCATCAGAAAAAGCCAGTGATCATTTGTGCTTAATATGTTGGTTGAAGTAATTATGTCTGAAGGGAGCTTGGCAATGTGTCTTATTGATTGTGTTCCGAAGTGTACTAATCAAGTATGGCAGCCAGAACATGTGGGCAAACAGGTAATAAGATACATACATAAATAACCACAAAGGCAGAAAATGCATCACAGAAGTGGATGGTGCAGCAATTACTCTAAGGCAAACCAGACGATATCCAACTAAGAGAGTGGATGAAACACATCTAGATAGACCTAGAGAGGACTAAAGGCAACTGCATGAAAAGGAGGGCCACTGAGGTGGGAAGTCACACCACATCAAAAACTGTGATCTGTTCAATGTGGTCAGAAAACAGTGCGAGCAGAAGGGACCAGACCCTGCTCTGCAGGCACCAAGTGGAGTTTTTGCATTAAATGCATAAAGGAAAGCAATGGGGTCATGGGACTGGAATATAATGTCAGAGAAGATGGCGCAGATCAGGTGATCAGAAATCTTCCATTTAGAGGGCTTTCATGGCCTTCAAACTAGGCACAAGGAATTGGAACCACCACTATGCATCACATTCTTTAATGAGAGAAAACCAAGCTCTTATTGGCCTAAACCCAAACGGTAATCATTTATTGTTACAGTCTAAATGTATCAGTTTCTGGGGACATCATCTAGCCATCATTCAAAAGACATTTCTTACTCTGTGGTGATGGGCACAGATATAACAGATGAACTGGAAAAACGAAGTTAAGCAGACAGCCTACACCATTAAAATGCTTTGGGTAGCTTTCCCCTAAAGACTAAAGGAAGAAAGAATTTGTTTGTAGTCAATACACTCCCTAGCTTGCTGACCATGAATGGCAGAAAGCATGTCTTAACCACCTCTGAGTCCCAAGATTACTACTTGCCATTTAGACTAAAAAACAAACAAATCTATGAATTGGAAAAAAAACAAACAGAAAGGGCCAAAAGAATACACCTCAGAATCAGCATATAATTAGAATGTGTCTTTGAGTGACATTTAAAATTATATCTCTTAAAGAATAAGAACCACCAGGATACTGAGCTGTATCTGTTACACCAAACTCTGTAAGATTGGGGCCAGATAATATACAAATATGTGCTTTTAATTTTTTTAATGTGCATTAAAGCTATTTTTTTTTTTAAAATTCTCCCTGAAATTAAACTGGACTGCAATCCAATTCTGAAGATTCCACTTATTAGATGGACTAGGTGATTTTTTCCAATCTTTGAACATTTTACTTAGTTGACATTCTCAACTGTTATTAAGTTTCAAAAATACCAGTTCTGGCAATTTTCGCAAGAAAGAAGACTAGTGTTGAGTAAGCTGTGACAGTGGCTAGTCTGACCAGACAGAAGAGTGATTCTCGGTACCTTAATGGTTTCTGTGGGGACTCCAGGCTCCGGAACTTTATCCAAGTAAGTGGTCAAGTCTTGATCAACATGCTCAAACACTAGTGTAAGCTTGGTCTCTCTGTCTGTCCGTGACACTGTGCACACATCAAACAACCTAGGAGGGGGAAAAACAAACAGAATGAGCAGCTGTAAATAAGCCAAGTAGTAAGCCATGCATCTTCTGTGAATGCCTCTAGTTGAGGGCATGCCTTGTGATCCTATCTAATGGGATCTGTTCTTTCTGTATCTATCTCAAAGTTCAGCCGAGGAGCCGTGAAACACAGACTGTCCAAGTATTAGTCACAAAGCAACATTAACTGGAGATCAAAAATATGTGTCCAGAGTGTCTGACCTAATTAAGTCTGTATGTAGAACTTGTTGATGGAAATAGCTTTAAAAACTTGCAACCGGGCAAAATAATTCTAACAATTCTTAGCTCACAGGCTGAGAAAATTGGAGACTAGTTAAGAGTTTTCGGAAGACCGTGGACTTAGCAAAAAAGTTTCCCAGAACAACCATGGCTGTGAAAACAACTATGATGGACTATGGAGTAACATTTCAAACACAGGATTCTGCAAAATGATTGTCCATAGAATGGCATAAATTCTTAATTAGTTTTAGCATTCCAACTCTATTGTAGAATCACACCATAAAAAATTAAGGCTTTATTCTTATTTTAACCCAACTGACAGAAAATAACTGCATGTATTCATGGGATACCATACAATGTTTTCATCTACTGGGAAACCACTGTACAGAATAGGAACTAAAACAAATAAAGAGCTATATATACTCCAAAGCTGTTCAAAGTATCAATTTCAAATGTTTATAGAAATCATAAAAAAGCCAACTAAGAATATAAGATGGTTCTGTTAAATAACTTGATTATCATGCAAACACTGTGAACGGAAAGGGGGATACACTGGAAAACTAATAAAAAGCACAGGTGAACAAACAGTACAGAGAGAACCTTCCACGATCCAGAGAACCTTCAAGCCAAGGACAGAGAGCCTTTGACTGAGCACTGTCTCACCAAGCTGTCTGAAGAATTAAACAAGCCACCCATAAATATACTGTATGGGAACTTCTTGAGATGAGTGTAACATAAATATGAGGAAACATATAAAATGTCATTTTTCAGTTTTCATTTAAAAACTAAAAAAACTGTCAAAGAAATTGTGTGTACACACAGGCCCCTTGCTAAACCATGGGCTCACTGCCTTGGTTCAGCTGGACGCTACTTCTAGTAAATTTTCAAGACCTAATCGTTTTACTGGGCCAAACTACTGTATTTCTGGGGTACATGGACTTCAAGTTTGATGTTAACGTCTCTAGAACACTGTAATCATCTTAATCTATAATAAACTGTATAAAATCCGCACTCTGAAAGGCTTTGGAGACTCTATCAAAACGGCTCTCTGAACTCCATAGTTTGACCATCTGTCCAGAAGCTGGTTTGAGCCAGTCTACCACTATTAACCACCTCTTTCAACTACTTCTTCACGAAGGAAAGAAAGAGTTGCAAAATCAGCAAGCTGATGCCTCTGTCTTTGCAATAGAGCTCCAATGAACTCAAAGTGGGATGTGATGAAATCAAATACAAACGCTCTAGCTAGGCCATTACATATTCATTCCACTTGGGCTTCTCAAGTGTCACTTTTAGAACAGTTCCCAGTAGAACTAGGATATTCCTTAATGAAAAGTGCGTTGTTCATCACTTGCTAATGAACAGCTCCAGTTCTTATTAAAGGGGTATCCTCCCTAGATATCTCTCCCCCACCGCGTGTGTCTATGTCTGGGTTTGCTGTTATTAATTTTCAAAGAAAAATCATGATGGGGACATAACACAGTTGAGCCAAAAAGGTCACCTGTTCCCTAAACCGTTGTCTTAGAAATTACCTAATAACCCTGGCCGTATGCAATATTGCTTAATCACCCTGAAACCGTTTCCAAGACTCTTGTATAACACAACTCATGAATAGCATCTCACCACCCAAGCTGCTCTTCATTAAATAATGCCTTGTTTTTCAAAATATTAATATCTGCTAATGTCAACGAAGGTACTTTGGCTGCACACTAAGGATGCAAAAGAAGACAGAGGCAAGCTTAACATAGCCACTACTAATTGTCTTAAATGATAAATATGAGGAAAAATGTTAAAGTGGAATAATTTTTTATTTAAATTCTTTAGTTACTACTCAAGAGTGGAATACATTTAAACAGACAAGTGACAATGCATATAGAAGGCTATTATTTTTAGTTCATGTATTTAAGTATTTTGCGTGCATGTACATGTGTAGCATGTGTGTACTTGATGCCTTTGGAGGTAGAGGGCTTCAGATTCTCTAGAAATGGAGTGCCATAACTTTCGATGACCTTCGGAGGGAGGTCATCCTGGAATCGGCATGAACTCCATTCAAAGGGTGAGGCCAATGGCTCAGTGTACTTACTGCTGGGGCAGGAGATCCAGGCTCAGTTCCCAGCACCCACAGGGCAGCTCACAATTGCCTACAATTCCAGTTCCAGAAGCTCTGACACCCTCTTCTGGTTTATAAGGGCTCCTGCACACACGTGGTGCATAAACTCATGAAGGTACACACACATACACATCACATACACATAAATAATAAACACTTTTTTTTAAAAGAGTAGACATGAGAAGTGGCTCTGGGTATTTATTGAAGCTATTCACTCTAGTTTGGCAGAGTGAACGCAATCCAAAATATAGGCTGTTATCATTTCAAAGTGAAGCAGCCAATCCTTAGCTATTCCACCAAGGGAGCTACTTTTCTTGCTGTCTCTAGGGTCCTGACCTCCAGCTGCAGGGCAGACAACAGAGTCCAGCACAACACTTGGCTTTCCTGTTGTCCTATGATGTAATCACCCTTCCGAACATTCCCTGAATTGGGTCGCATCCTACCCATTGTAATCTCTGCTTCCCGTTCGCATTCTCAATTTAACTTGCGGCTCAGGACCTATTGCCCAGGCCATCGGCCTTCAGCTAACAGATGGGACTGCATCCAGTAGTTTTGGGATTTCCAAAGTTTACAGTTTACAAACGTCTCCCAAACAACGAGCCCTGTCAACACAACCTCGGCCTTTCTATTGTGGTTATAATAAAAGGGAAATCTGTATTATTTGCTGTGATTATACCATGACCCAAAGCAGGAAGTTCTAAGAGGACTTTCTTCCTGTCAGGTTTCCCTGACCTCGCACACTCTGAATTGTTTGGATACCAAATAGTTCTAGAGCTGAGCACTGTCTGGCACAGCCGCCTAAGGGACATAACAAATTCTTATTTGAACTAGAGCCAGAACTTGAAACGGAGACGATTCCTCCCCCCCCCCAACCACCACCCTGTATCTAATCTTGAAACTCCATGAACTGCAATGGTAGGTAAAGCTTGCTCATCCAATCAACGATCACCATCTCACTAGCCCAACACTCCTGTCCAGTGGCCACGTGGCTCTTTTTGCTCCAGAAATACAGACTGGGTATGCAGTGGTTCACTAGCGACAGAAATGACAAACTCCTGAGTATGGCCAGCAACAGCCAAGAGCATGCTGATCACGACCTTGCAGCCACTCCAGGACTGCATGTGCACAGGGCTCAGCACATGCAGGTGCCATACTTAGTCTAAAGTTTCTGACAGATATGGGGCAGGGAAAGCATGTGAAAAACGCTGTACGGTGGCAACTGACCAGGGCAGACAGAAGCCCGAGACTGGGTCCCAGGAAGACCCGAGAGAAAAACTCTCTTTATAAAAGCATTACCATACGGGCAAGGCGTAAGCCTGCACCACTGGTGGCTGCCCTCCCCACTTTAGTCAGAATGCAGACAAGAACACTGGCCAGAGGGTTCAGGGGACCCTTTTTACGTGCCTGAGGTCTATTCTGTCTCATTTACCTTCTGCATTGAGAAAAGTTGCCTGAGCTAGTGAAATCCCATTTCTGAATTTGAGTTGGGATTTTATTACTTACAGAAAACAAAATAAAACTCTAACCCCTGGCAAATCATGTATGGGGCTCATACACAGGGATTCACCTGAAATAGTGCACAATTAATCATGGTAATTCTTAAAGAAAATACTCAACAGGCATCTATAAATATTTTGAAATTACTAACTTCAGTCAACATCTGACTTAAAATGCATCCTATACAGTAAACAAAGAGAGTTAAGCTCATACACATATGTAGCATTAATGCTCTCTAAGTCACAGCTCTTTCAACACTGTCACAACTCCACTTGGGGTTGGGTAGCTGAATATTGGGGTGGCAAAATAGCTGGCAACAGAAAAGGTTTCTGAACACACAACAATCAAAAATTAAATGAAAACTTAAAACATGTTTAAGGAGTTTCTGGCCACAGAAAACTTGTCTTCCTGGAAGTGCCCTTCCTGCTACACAGAACCTGCACTCTTCACACAGCACACACCCCTCACACCACAGAGAAAATACCTTCACACTGCACATGGTCTATGTCCTTCACACAGCACACAGTACACACCCCTCACACTACAGAGAAAATACCTTCACACTGCACATGGTCTATGTCCTTCACACAGCACACAGTACACACCCCTCACACTACAGAGAAAATACCTTCACACTGCACATGGCCTGTGCCCTTCACACTGCACACAGCATGTAGCATTCTCACAGTGCATGCTGTTGGGTTCTCCAACACCAAAGGGTTTGGCTTGGAGCTCCTCAGGTCACACTGGTTTACACTGTAGTAGTCAGTAGTCACTGCACACACAAAGCTGTCTGCTGTTAGAGAAAGATAGTGGCTTAATTAAGGGAAACAAAGAGTGTCCTCCTATTGCCGTTCTTCACCATGTTAATTTCAACAATCAAAGTATGTTGTCTCTAGGCTGGGTCATATTATAACAATTCATTTTTAAAAATTGCTGCTTTGAGTTACTGATGGGCTTTGTAAGAAGTCGTTAATTCTGGCTGGGGATTAGGGCAGAATCTCAAAATACTTTTGAAGTAGCTTCTCTAAAAATGTTTTGTCATTTTGTAGTATGTATTCATTGATTTAAAACAGTTTTCCAGCACTGACAATTAGAAAATCAGACCACCTCTGCAAAACACTGAATACATTCTTTTACG